ATGTATATATGATAAAGTGACAGTTGATAATCTGTGAAGCTGCAGTGTTGTTAGAAATTGTGTCAAAAAATGATTTGGAAACACTGAAATTATTAAAATAAACAAATCAAGACATTGTTGAAGAACAAATGCATGCAATTTTCTCTGTCCTTTCTAAGTTAAAGGGGTTTCCTTCTTTGTCTTAACACTTGGGATAGTAAACAGATTTTTACATTTTTTTTTGGACATCCAAACAACGGATGAGGTCAGAAAATAACCTGCAAAATAACCAACTATTCTGACATTATCATTATTTTTATGTACAAGCTGGTGCAATATTTTACATATTTAAATTTAAACAAATGCACCCAGCTTTTTTTTTTCATCGACAGTTCGTTGCTGTAGCCAATGCATCTCTACTAGATTAGAGATTAAGTTTAAAGTCTGAGATTTTGTTTGCTTGCTGTTAGTAAAATGGTCATGTGGTCGCGGCACACATGCGTGCACGTGGGGACACTTTCAAAAACAAGTCCTAATAGCATTGTCTGAACAAGGCATTACAATAAGGTCATTCCACTGAAGTTTAAACAAATATTAACACACTGTACTGAATGACCAGGATTAAACTTACGCACGGACACAAACAATCCGGTTGGACTGGCCTGACCCTGATATATGGCTGCCCTGGCGTATCGATGCCTTCTTTCTTGTCTTGTTTCGTCATGTAACTTTGTTTTTTGTTAAAATATTTCGATTATTTTTTGTGCTGTATAAACCCTTGATTACACTTACTGCTATCTGACTTATAACGCTGCTTCTTATTCATCTTGTTACACTTAATACATACAACACTTTTTAATCTATATGTTGCTCTTTATGGTTATGCACTAAAACACCAAGTCAAATTCCTTGTATGTGAAAACCCACTTGGCAGTAAATCCTCTCTGATCTGATAGTAACAAAAACAGCCTATGAATGAGAGTTACGACATGATCGCTGCATCCTCCCAGGGTCAACCGGTCACAACTAGTTAACATTAAGCAAACATTACAAGGTGCAGCAGCAGCCTTACCAGAAACACATGTGCAGTTTATGAAAATGAATAACTTGCAGAGATAGTTTTACTGGCTGTTTGACAAGAGAAAACATAACTAATTCTTTTTTTAAAAAAGGAAAACATAATTTACCTCCAATCACTCCAACACAAAGATACAGGTGTATGATACTGGTGCCAAAAGAAGCAAGCACCATGGCACTGCAAACCATGAGCCCGCCAACCAGAACCACAGGTCTGCTGCCATAGCGGTTCACAAGTATGCTGCTGATAGGACCTGCACACCACAGAGAAAAAGCTCACTTTTTTGGACCCTAAAAAAAGATGATAGAATTACTTTGCTCACTGAAACTAGTTATAGAATATGCTGACTGGAAATGTGCCAATTTTGCCAAAATGGCTTTGTCAATTTTTTTTTGAACAAGTATGACGGCCACTGACCTCCTGCATACATGGAAGCAAGCATGACTGAGGACACCCAGGCAATCTCACTGTAGGAAACTGAGAAATATTCCTGAATCTCCTTGAAATAGATGGTGAGGGACTTGGGAAAGGCATAGGAGAATCCTATGGAGATGAAAGCGCTGAAGACGATAGCCCAGCCCCAGCCTCCATCTGGTGGAGTGTAGCCTAGATTGGTGACTTCTGCAGGGGGCATGTTCAATACACCAACTGGGAACAGGTAAAAGAAACAAACAGAGAATAAACAGTGGCAGAATTTCAATGAAATAGTAGCATAGTAATATGCAGAGTGTATATCACAAGACCTCACCTCTGCACAATCCTGGAAGCCGTATTAGCCTGAATGTGAGCCCCGTCGCTCTGCCAGACTGACGTCTCCCTCAGAAATACCAAGGCCTTTGATCTCATCACGTGTGCTTGCACAAGTGACCGTACGCGACAAAGCAACAACCCAACCACAGACGATGATCTCAAAAAATGTCTCAGTGAGTTTTAAAAAAAAGTAATGTCTAACTCTCTAATCATGCAACCTTTTCTCTTTTTTTTTCTTTACCAGTTTAAAAGTTGTGTGTTGCTGCTCAGGCCCTTTGTACTCTGTGTGGGCAGTTTGTGCTGCTTGTGTATGTGTGTAGATTCTGAGGGCAAGGGGTGAGAAAAATGACAAACTCCTCATGGCTAAAATCATTCAATGGAGTATAAGTTGTGAAATAATGAAGTACATGGAAATTCAACTGAGAAACTGTATTCAGATATGAGTGCCACCAAAACAAACCAAGATCAGACTAAATGTTGCGGCTGAAGAAATGAAAAACCACTAAAATGAGATGCAAAACAGTGAAAATGGGATGCAATGACCACAAAGAGATGCAGAATGACTACAAGGAGATGCGGTTTACAAAAAGTGTAATCAGAAATTGGTGGGAAAACTCACAAAGCTGCATCTCTGAGGAAATGCCATTTGTTCTTCCATAGAAGGGGAGTCGTGATGTAGTGGTACTGACAACTACGGTGATGTTTTAAAAATGAAACATTGATTTCATGTTAACAATCCACGCATGATAACATCATAAACTATCCAGCGCTTGTAGCCGTCCCCCTACACTCCTGCTGTAATTCACTTGTCAAAAAAGAGACAAAACACACAATAAACAGAATTAAAGTTAAATTTGACTGATAGCATTTTTGTCTTTAATTAAAGTTTTCCTTGATATTGTGGTAATACCGTCACAATGAGTTGTTTGGGCCAAAATAATCTTGTAAATCTAATATCATGACAGCCCTACTTCAGATCAAGTCTTCAACATTACTCTGGGGTTTTCTTACCTTTTGTAAGAACTTAGAGTGGCAACAATTCTTCACAGTGGAAGCCTCCTGGGACTGGTGTGCTCGCAAAATAAGTTCTACTTTTGTTTGCTTTTCATTAAAATAATGAGGTGCTAAAATGTAATTTGCTCTTTGTCGTAGATTCCCACTCTGTTTACCACATGAACACAACCGCAGTTGTTAATTCTTCAGCACAAAAAAATGAAAAGGGCTCAATGAGAAATTGCCCAAAAAAAGGTAAATGAAGACATCCTTAAATTGCTCTATAAATAAATAGCTGCTGGTGAAAACTAGAGAGAGACAAACAAACCCAGAGGATCATATTTTAGTTTTTTGAATACTAATAAAAGGTACTTCCTTTGAGCTGCAAACTGCAGCGGACTTTAACTCAGTCCCTGAAGGCGAGATGCTTCAGGCAAGAACATTTTTTTTCAGTTCTTCCAGTCTAATGGAAAGAAAAAAATCCCAAAATACACATATGGGTGTTTGTCTAATTGAGATTGAAGATTTAAATTATAATATACTGGTTAGAAATATAAACACAGCGTTTTATTAAATTCTATCTTTTTTTTCACATAAGGATTAAGTGTTTGTTTTTCCAACACATCAAATCTCTAAAACAGAGCGGATGTCATGAAACAACCAAGTATGCACCGTGTTTGACATGATAATAGGCAACTGGAGAGTGGAGTTATATATATATATACCTCAAATCATAAATGAGTTGTGAGTCACACATCTGCAACACATGGAGTTAATGATGCTGCTTGTGGGATTTAGTCCGGTTATTCCTGAAGGGCTCAGTGGAGGACTGGACATGTTGGATCGTCTTGGTGGACACGTCCATCCAGGGCAACATGTGGCAGATTATTTGTCACACCATGCTGTCTGAAGCTATTTTTTTCAACAACAACTGGTGGAGTTGTGGACATCCAAGTGCCCGACTACAGTCCTAACTGATGTGCAGCATCCAGCATGCCAACAAATTGCATATTACCTTTCAAGGTGGCCTTTTACAGTCACTGGTCAAAGGCGTGTCTGCATACTGGTCACACAGATGTGAAATCAATGGCTGAGAATTTGTCAGCAGCTCAGAAACTTTCTGTACGATAGCAGGCCCTGCAAGCATCAGCACTCACAGGGCCCGTGTCCATAACAGCTTTTCTCCAGTCACTTTTCAGGCTCAGGACCTTGAAGAGGGGGAGAAGTATCTCATTCCACAACCCTGGACAATTAGCAATTAATCACCTTTCCTCCTGCCCATCTTCCCCCACAAAAACTACCCTATTCATGTATAATTTTACTGCTTTCAAACCAACTTGAGCAATATGACTTCTGTATACCACAACATATGCGCAGTTACTTTCTTAGGGTATCTATTTTTAACACTCTTTTATGCAAAGGGCTTTTTAGAATGACAAACTTTCTAGTTTTATTCCTATTTTAAGGTTTTTACAGAGGGGTTTGTTCATTTATTATTCATAGCCTGATTTAGAGAACATTTTATTCCTTATATCCTCAAAATATATTTATTTTTTGGCTTATGACAGTATTTCCGATTTAAGAAATTATACAAGCATATCAAAAATCCCCTCAGTAAAAAAAATCTAATTTTAAATATGTCAACAAAATCAAACCAATTTGGAAGCTGTTTGGATTTTTTGTTCTGGAAATGAATGTAAATAAGGGCAGGTCACATTTCACCCTGGTGCAACATTAATGCATGGACTATTTTTATGCATAAAATTCTCTTTACAATGTCAAAGTCTTCCACACATAGAATAATCTGTGCAGCATCAGTGGAATCTGTGCAAAATAAATATTTTCAACTTCACTCTTTAGTACATGTTTTTGTACAACAGCCCTGAGCAATATTGTTTTTTTTCCACATTCAAATAAATCCATCCAATATCTGAATTTCTACATACAGAAGAAACTGTACAATTGTACAATATCAGCAGTGCTTATGTACATTTTATTTGGTTTTTTATTGTTTTTCTACTGATATCCCTGCATCATTTATGCACTATCCTCTGTGGGATTAAAAAAGATAACTTTTACATAACTTGTACAACAAAACATATTTTCTTGTACTAAAAAAAAAAAAACGGGTCAAGTTTCATGGTTTAAAACTTTAATGTGTTAAAAAAAAAAAAAACAAAGCAGCGGAGTGGGACGTCTTCCGGTTCAGCCTCTCTCTGTAACATCGCCACACCTCCGTTATTGCTGCGCTTATTCAACTTTCAGCTTCGATTAAGTTAGATTTATTTCACCAAACAGCCTTATGTGAGTACTTGAGACATTGTGGGCTGTGAAATTAGAGGTTTTAAGTCAGGGTCTCTCTGATAAACAGCGTCTTTGTGCGACCTCTGCGTGTGTAAACTCAGCTGCTTATGTAACATGAACGTTAGCTAGCATCGTTAGCTCGTCAGCCACGGTCAGCTAGCTGTGTAGCTAGTTAGTTCGCTGCCGGTTTGAAAAGGAGGCTCGCTTGGTTTTGACATGTTTTCCCAAGTGAGAACACGCCTGGCCTCGACTTTGGCCAGACTGCCCAGTTGTTTAGGTTCAAGTGGAGCGAGGAGGCTAACACCTGCCCTCTGCAAACATCAGCACCGGAGCTACAGCGCAGACTCTGCTGGTGTCAAGGTAAGAAGCCAAGGTCTGACGTTTAGAGGAGGCACTGTAAACAAGGGAGTCTGAGGGTCTCCCCCAAGAAAACACTTTTTTTTCCCTCCCCATTCTGGTTAACTTTTAAGTTTGTTCTCTTTGTACATCAGCTGAAAACCTGTGGAGGTCAGACTCCAGGTGACAATTCAAAATATATACAGGACTATAATGCAATGAGGCTCTCAGGCTTTCTGTAATGCTTTCAGGTATTTGTTCTGCTGTAGATTCTCATTTAATATGGTCCCTGCTGAGTCCCTACTCCTCTTTTTTGATCCTATTTAAGAGATAACATCTTCTAATGTTCACCTATACATGTAAATGATAAATTCTTTTTAATTCACACTGTAAAAAAAACTAAACGCAGCAGCAAATGGTCTGTTTTGTGACTTGTGTATATGTAGAGGCTAAAAAATGGGGGTAAAGGTTATATTTTGTGCACAAAAGCTTTTTGAGCTGCTCGACTGTGGACAAATTCCCCACCATTTATTTCATCCACATCTCAGTCAAGTGTGGCTTTAAAGGACAACGATCAGAAAGCGTGACCAGTACACAAACACTCCAGTGACCAGTAACTAGAAAAGGTCACCTTAGAAAGCAGCTTTATATAAATGACACGACGCCACAGATGACTAGAGGAAGACAAGAGCTGCTTGATGCCAGCATGTCAGTCAGTGCAGCAGCCGGGCGCTTGAACGTCCACAACTCCACCATTTGTCTAAGAAATCGTTTCAGACAGCTCTGGATGGACGTGTCAGTCGACTTCGCCAAACCCCTTCAGGAGCATCGACAACCTCGTTTGCTCTGTGTGTCGTAAATGTATGGCCCTGCAAGAGGTGGACAAACTTGTTACTGACTTGTGATTTCTGGAGCTGCTTGTTGTCTTTTCCAATATACTTGGTTGTTTTATGAAGTCGGAAATATTCAACCACGTTAAAAAAGAATGCTGCTTTCTTATTTTTGTTCAGTATAATTGATTTATAGTAGCTCATGTGTTTCAGCATCATTCCTCCACACGATTAAAACTTTTTGGACAATCTGAACTTACCTCACACATGTTGTAGGAGCTATTTATGTTGTTGTTGGCAAGTAATTTGATGTGGATTATTATTATTATTGTTTGGACACATGGTGGTGGTAATTGGACACAGGATGTATAAGTAGAGGGCACAGGTGACAGGAAGAGGAGGGCACAGGTAGGGGGAGAGCCAACAATTCTCACCAGACCAGCATCAAACCAGCACAGATACCAGATTCACAATAGGAAGACCACTGTACTTTCATTGCATGTATATCCTCGAATAAACATCCACTAACGGCAAGTATAAGGACTGGAGATTCTGTTTATTTGATCTGCGTCGGTTCACTCTGCTCCACCTGTGCAGTAACGGCAAATGGACTAATTGTTGTTAGATATGTGTTTGATATACACTGAAGGGGAGAACACGTAGAAGGCATATCGCTTATGCTGCTTTCATTCATTTTCGGGACACAAAAAAAACTATGCCTTGACCTAAAAATTGCTGTTTTACATAACAGGATTGCAAACTTAAAAACAACAGAGCTCTCATTTTCAAAAACATCTATCTGTCAGTTCTGTAGTCCATCATTATTAACATTGATTACTCTCAATAATCTGTACTGTGAAGTATTGTATCAAGTACAGTCAGTCATGTAGTGTACTATGGTTTTGTGGTATTTTATCTTTTTTGTTTCTGAATTGCAAACAGAGTTGCTAGTTATTCATTTATGCTACTTTCATTTAAACTCGTTGAGGTATAGAGGCCTCATTTGAGTAACAAAAGACGTCACACAAATAAGAGACTTGCACAACAATGACGATCAAAACTGTAACTGGAAAAATTAGTACGAATAATTAGAGCGTTTAAAATGTGAAAAAGGAATCAAATGGAGGTAAAATAGGAAAAAATTCCAAATCTGGATTACCCTAAGGGTCAAAATGAGTCAAACTTTACGTTGTTCTGTGTGTTATTTCAGGTTGCGTGTTCACGATGAGTGAAAGTGGATTTTTCAAGCTCAGTAAAACCAGCCGGCACCTGCAGCGTTATCCAGTCATTTGAGCGTGTATGGAAAGGGCCCGCTGTAAAAGACAGCACTGAAGTGATGTAAGAGGGTTAAAAAACAGTGAGGGACTTATAAATAAATAAAACCCAGTGTCTGTCAGAGAGTCGCCGCATGCATGTATAAAATGTCACCGTAATCCAAAGCTGATGGAAAAGTTGCCTCAGTAAAGGTCTTTCTATGAGAGTCTTTCTTACTCCTCTACGAGAAACTATTTTTTGTCCTTACGTACTCACTAGTTTGAACATATTTGAATCTGACGTTCTCATAAATCCAAATTCTGAGGGTTTTTGCACTCAGTGAGTCTTCTAATATCTGAACCACACATAGTAGAGATGATTATCATAATCAATATGTTTGGCTTTGGGGAAAATTATGTATTTAGTTTTATCTGGATTAAGAACTGATTTATGCTTTTAAGAGACACTTAAGATCAGTTTGAAAAAAATATGATACTCTGTTATGATTGAACTACCCAGCTGTATTAAAGCAGTTGAAACAAAATGATAGCTTAGAAAGCTATTACTTAATATCAAGTCAAAATTATAGCATTTACATTTTAATTCACATTGAGATCTCGTTTTCAAAAAAGACTTGAGAAGAAGAAACATAAACAATACAAATAAGGCCGAGTCCAAAGTTAATTCAAAATTAGGACGTACTGCCTCAAAGGTTGGATCCATAATTTTACTTTATCCCAAACTAGACTTCACAGCATAAGTCTTACTCACCGCAAGTATTTCAGTTTTATTTTGTGAGTTACTGTATTTTTATCTTCAGCATTACAGAATGTTTTACTTACTTTCCATCCTTTTTTTCCACTAGTGGAAACATGCCTCTATAATTATCATCATATGCAAACTACAATAAAATGGTTTAGTTTTCTAGATACAGAGGAAATTTATTAGCAGCTCTGTTCCAAGTTAAATATTAAGTTAATAGTGATGAAATATTAGCAATTTTCACAGGAAATCCCTTTTCATTTTCTCACATCGTTTATTATTTTTTCTACACAGTCGAGCAAATAGTGATGTGTGACTAAAGCACCTGGAAAATCTCTTTCTCCCACTATTAGTAATTTTCCTCTCGTGTCCTTGAGTGAGCGAAGCAGTTCGAGCTCAAGCAGAAAATTAAAGACGGCGGTGCTTTTATCATCTATTATCTGCCCCGTTCCAGGTGCTGTATGATGGGCTTTGTCCTGTATGTGTGACAGAGATCCGCTTCCTCGAGTTTCTGCAGAGAAATGAGCCCGGGAAAGTACATTTTATTGATATCGCCCTGCCTGACTACGATGGAGCAAAGTACCAGAATGTCAGCTATGAGATGGCCATGGAAGTGATGCATGTGATCGATGAGAATAACGAGGTAAACTCAGATTTCACTGCCGAATGTGGTCTGTGCAGCAGTATGCAGATTATCCTAAATGCAGTGTTATATACTTTCTCGCCGTGTATTGGCAGGTTCATCGTGGGATCCCAGCATTTGCAGTCATGTATGGTGCAGTGGGCCTCCACTGGTTGGGTCACTTCATGATGTGGTCACCTGTGAGGCCGTTTATGGAAAAATTCTATGCCACCTTTGCGAAGAATCGCCTTAAGTGGACCGGACGTGGGCAGGAGTGTATGACAGGACGCTGTGAAAAGAAAAGTGAATGACTTTCGACCTCAGAAAAAAAAAAAAGAACTATGTTTAAACGGATTAAGAAAACTGCATATATATACCACACACTTAATCCTGTATAGCCACTGGCTTATCATTAACCTGGCATTAAAGGTTAATTTGTGTTACCAAAGGGAAATATTGTTTGAGTTTCTTATTTAGTCCAGTTAAAGTGAGGAAAACATCTACTAAATAGTGATGCAAAGACTCACATTATAAGACGTGATCGCTACTTAAGAAGAAAAGATGCTTCAATGTGCAGAAACTGGCATGAATATGCAGTGGATCACAATGTTCACTGCACATTTAGCATCCAAAAAATGTAACTGAAAGCAAAGTTTGAAAAAAAAAAAAAAAGAAGGAAGCAAATTCAGACAGACAGCACCATTTTGTCAGGTGTCTTCTATTTAAAAAAAAAAAAGAAAAGAAAAAAAAATTGGTAAGATGACAAACAATCAAACAAAAGAAAGTCCGGTTCCAGAAAAAGATCAACAATCCCGGCAGTACAGAGAAAGAACCTCAGTGTGAAAGACAGAGTAATTGTGTATTTTATGAAGGGCTGTCACATTTTGGCAAATGTACAGTACAGAGATAAGACTAAAAATCGGTGAAGCAAAATACAGTCAATTTCCTGTCATGCACAGGGTCTCAGATTGAGGTTCATTTAAAGGCCGATAAAGAACTAAACTGTCAGGAGGCTGCCACTAGATGTCAATGTAAGTCTAAAATAATACCAGCTGTGAGAGTGAAATTGTTTCTTAGGAACTGTCGCAGGTGGCAGCTGTGATTGATCAGATCACCGAACGTGGGTTTTTCTTGATAAGGGTGGCTAATACGAGCTTAGGCCGGTAGATTTTTTTAAATCGTGTTTTGAAAGGGACAGAGACGGACACTCAGGAGTTTTTAAGCTCCACATGGGCCTCTTGTGTTTTGAGCAACAATACACTGCAGTGCAGAACAGCATGTGCCTGTCAGAGGTTACATAAGTTATAGCCATAGAACAGTGATGTTTACAAAACATACTCTGATATAGCATAAGGCAGACACTTTCCGCCTTATGCTTACTTCCTGTGTTTGCATCCAACAACGGGAAACTAGTGGTTAATTATTTATATGGAGGGTATCAATAAAATAACACTTGTTTGGAGCTTATGCATAAGTAGGGAAGAAGACAAAGGGTGAGGTTTGTTTTAACTTGCTCACCATCTATTTAATAATTAAATGTACACATGTTTTTTTCCTTGGTAAAGCAGGAACTATGGGGTAACAGTGTTGATATAAAAAATATTTTTTAATGTATAATTTATTTATTATGAAATTCTGTATGCATGGAAAATGCAGCTTATGGTATTGTTGCTAAATTTTGGTTCTAAAATTAAGATTAATCACTGGGTTGTATTTGCAGTAAAGTGGCCCTGCCTTCTTGTCATTTTCTCTAATTACAGTGCAGTTACAGGATGTATTAAAGTTTCATAGATATACTAATATATATACTTTTTTTTTTGTTAAAGTAGCTTTTCTGTGCTCCACTTGTGCCTGTAGATTCAAAGTTATTACTTTCTTGGTATCTCGTGTCCACAAAGAAAGAATTAAAAGTGCTTGTGTTCACTTTCAAGGTGTAGAATGGTGCGATGTGGTCTGACGTATCACCGAGACCCTGAAGTAGTCACCCGCCCCCTCCCTAATTTTAGACTTGTGCTCGTCAGCAGCGACAGCACATGACTTTAAGCCCGTGTGGTCTTATTGAACATTGGCCAAGCCGGTCCACCCCCCACCAGCCCAGCTCAGCCAATGAGATTAAAGCCCCTGCGTGCAGCAATGATTGAATTAAGTGTCAAAACACAGTAGGAATAGTCCTTAAGACAGTTTTGTCAAAGGTTCTGGATTTCAGAGAGCAGACTTTTTTGTGCAGGAAGAGGAACTGTGAAGACAACAGAACTGTCTCTCGGTGTTGTGTCTCAGGTAAAGCTTGAGTGTGTGTTTTCAACACGTTTTCTCTCAAGGTTAGAGGACCTGTAAGCTACTTTGGTTCATGACCTTCCCCTGCTTAGCGGAAAACAACTATAGTTGATGTTTGACTGCTGAATACCCAAACTATCTGCCGTTCTCTATGTGAAGCCACTACAGAACTTGTATGTTAATGCACCTTTGCTTTTTTAAAATAATAATAATAAAATGCACTCATATGTTAAGGATAGGAGGTTGAACTGAGGGTGAAGTGTTCTGTTGTCAACGTGCAGGTGTATTGATAGACATCGAAAGTTATTTGTGGGTCATGTAGACTTGTGTACTTCCTCTGAGGTTTCATGTTACATTCCTGAGGGGACACGCTACTGAGAAACAGTGGAAGGTTATGATGTTTGTACACAGTCTGATCAGCTCACTGTGAAAGCACGCAGTGACACATTTATAGCAGTGACAACCTGCCCTGCTCTGAACAGACACGCTCAGAGCAGTTTTTATCTGAAGTTTGCCCACATTGTAATTCAAGGTTATTCATTTGTCAAAAATCAATATGTTTTATATAAATTCATAGATTTAAGTTGCTATAACTTGCATATTTGTGACTATTAGACATTCGTGCTCCAGATGATGCATCCTAATGACTGACTTTAGTGTCATTTTTAAATATGTCCACAATTTTTCAAAGGATCTCTGTGAAATGAAGGAAAGATTTTAATAAAGTTGATCCCTTAGCATATATATATATATCAGTATTTGTTTAGTGCTAATTAGCAAACGTTAGCACGCTAACATACTGAGCTAAAATTTGAACATAGTAAATATAATACCTGCTTAAGATCAATATGCAACCATTGTAAGCATTTACCATTTAGTTCAGTGCTAAATGTGAATTCATTCTGTTTTTTTAAATGTGTTTATTTTGTGAATTTTCACAGATTCCTGTTAAATAATGTGAGCCAAGTGACGTTTCCGCTTCAGTTGCTCGCCACATCAAGTCAAGCATGGGTCGTTACCTCGGCACCAACTTGTGTTCAAGTCCCGTGAACAGGACTTTGAAAATGTACCGCAAAATTAGGTACTCGATGAGCCCTATCAGAAAGGACCAGCGTCTGGCCAAAGCACTGCTCAGCCAGGACTTACACAAATATTCACAACTGTCACCTCCTCAGGCTTCCAGGTTTGCAAGACAAGCTAGTTTAAAAAATGTCAAACACTGTGATGCAGCCTCTCACTGCTTCCTCAGAGACTTCGCCAAAGAAGCAAGACATCTCCAGATCGTGCGTTTTTATTCGTCTTCTGAGAGGGATGCATTCAAAGGCGACGCTCCAGTTGGAATTTTTGAGGAGGCTCAGAGCAGTTTTCATTTGAGTTCGCTGGGTGGACGCCTAGGTCAATCATTTAACCGTTTGTCCAGACACATTAACGTTTATTTCAAAAGAACGGATGCTGTGGCGCTCGCTGAAAATGCCACTCTTGTTGTCACAACTCCAGAGTATCTTGGCAGGCCGCAGAGGCGCAGACAGAGTCATCGGGCAGCCTCAGAGCCAAACGTTTCTGAGAGCAAAGACACAGCACAAACCTTGGAATGCAAAAGCAAACAGAAAAACACAGAAACAAGTTCTTCACCCCAGGAATTGTCTGCCCTGCAACTGTTTCACATCAGCTCTTTGGCAACAAGATTTGGTGAGAGCTACAGCTACGTTGCTCACCACATTAACTCGGTGTTCTCTCTGGGTTTTGCAAAACACCAGGACGATCTGGAAACTGTGTCTTCTAATAGAGGGATAAACAGAAGGCAGAAGAGGAGAAAAATGCAAAACACTTACATTAGAAACATGAAAGAAGAAGAAGAAGAACCGACTCAAATAACAGCCAGTAGTGAAAAGGCAGCAGTAGAACCAAACAGTCTCTCTAGCAGCTGGGAGGAAGGATACCTTCACTTTGCAAGACACATCAACAGTTACTTTGGTGCCAAAGTTACAGATGAAGCTCAGAATCAGAGAGAACAGCCAGCTGTAGAAAAGAACAATGCAATCAAGGCACACATTTCAGCACAATCTACATCACAAACTCACAGTGCTAAGTCACAACCAAAGCAAGAACCCATCAACACAGAAACTAGAGGCCTTTTCCACAGCAGCTATAATACAACCAACTTTGGTGAAAGCTATTTTCAGACGTCCAGGCACATTAATAAGTATTTTAATAGTCAAAGCAGATTGCACAAGGACACTGATGGAAATCTCTCAACAAAGATGAGCTCTGGATCCCCAGAGAGAACAAAGACTGTATCTTTTATGGACTGCCTTCTGCACCCGACGAGTGCTATTCCACACTTGTTGGGTTCTTATCTTCAACCAGGCACTGTGTCCCACACTAATAAGCCCAAAACTGCCATGACACCAACGCGGGCAGTATCAAATAAAAAGGTGAGTTGAGGTTACATGATGTTCATTGACTTCTTATTAATTAAACATTTGAGAATTTGGCTGTTAGTCTCTAAAGCTACTTGTTTCATCTCTTGTACCTTTTTAAAACTGCTACAGCATTGCTACCGTTCATTAAACACAAACAAGATTTTTTTTTTTTAAAGCTTGCTGGTTGTGTTAAAATTAAATGAGAATATTATACAAGTGAGTCATTTGCACTATTTTGTATTTTGTCAGCTTGTCTTGAGTCGCAGACAGGCAGAGGAAATAACTCACAGGTTGTTGGGCAGCCTGGGACTGGCTTCTTCTCTAGAAGCTCTGGTTACCTGCATTGAAGCACTCAATGAACACCTTATCCGCTACCCCTCCTGTAAAGCTCTGATCTGGCAGGTTTGTTGGAAAAAAATAAATTCAAAATGTTTAACAAACTGATTTGAGCTCTTTAAACTAGCATAGATGTTTCTGTTTCCAGGAGAAAACTGCAGTCACATTGTTGAGACAGCGGCGAACCTACAGATACGACCACAAACTTCAGGCTGCCGTGAGAGAAACCTTGGCTCTGATCGGTTATGTGGATCCAGTCAAAGGTCGTGGCATCAGGGTGCTTTCAATTGATGGTGGCGGTACGAGGTAAATGTAAGAAAATACATTAATAAAGAATGATGTGCTGCAACGTGGCGCAGTTGGTAGCACTGTTGCCTTGCAGCAAGAAGGTCGCCGGTTCGCATCACGGTGGTGGCACTGGGATCTTTCTGCGTCGCGTTTGCATGTTCTCCCCGTGCAGCGTGGTGCACTGGGTTCTCTGGCTTCCTCCCACAAGTCCAAAAACATCCATCCATTATCTGTACACCGCTTAATCCTCACGAGGGTCTCGGGGGGGCTGGAGCCTATCCCAGCTGACCCTGGACAGGTCGCCAGTCTATCACAGGGCTACACTTAGCGACAGACAACCAAGCACACTCACATTCACACCTACGGACAATTTAGAATCACCAATTAGCCTCAGCATGTTTTTGGACTTTGTGGGAGGAAGCCGGAGAACCCGGAGAGAACCCACGCTGCACGGGGAGAACATGCAAACTCCACGCAGAAAGATTCCGGTGCCCCTACCGGGGCGCAAACCGGCGACCTTCTTGCTGCGAGGCAACAGTGCTACCAACTGCACCACCTTGCAGCCCGTCCAAACATGTTGAGGTTAATTGTTGATTCTAAACTGTCTGTAGGTGTGAATGTGAGTGTGCTTGCCCGCGACCCAAGTGAAGATTAAGCTGTGTATAGATAATGGATGGGTGGATGGAAGAATGATGCATCTACAGAGCTTCAGAAAGTAGTGAAACATTAATCACAAGATCACAATTCTCAAAGACACATCTTCAGGTAGTTTGTTTCATCTGATTGATGGCACGAAACCCAAAGACATATAGTTTACTATCATCTTAAAACAAAAAAAGTAGTAAACCCTATCGTTTGAAAAGATGAAAAGAGCAAATCTTTGACAGTTCAGCTTGTAGAGTGACCCCAAAGATTCACTGACCCTCATCTTTTTTTTCTTCCTTTGACTGAGTAATCAGTGAATCAATTTAAGATGACCTCCTTCTTGTAGTTCTGTATATAATTACGTCTATTAAATCCAGTGCAGCACAAGACACACTTGAACGTCACAAACCGTTGATATTTTCATTCTTGTTTCATATGTTTTGGTTTTTTTTTCTTTTCCAGAGGTGTGGTGCCTCTACAGCTGTTAAAGTTGCTGGAAGATGAAACAGGCAAAAAGGTCCACCAGCTGTTTGATTACATCTGTGGAGTGAGCACAGGTAAATAAATAAATCAATCAATCTGTGCTGTACATGGTGATTTTGTCAATCTAAATCTATATTTTATCTCATTCTCTGGCTCCACATCTGTTTACGAAAGGTGCTGTTCTGGCCTTCATGTTGGGTCTGGCTCGTTTCTCTCTGGAGGAGTGTGCTGACATGTATCGTCGGTTTGGATCTGAAGTCTTCCGGCAAAACCCACTGGTTGGCACCGTGAAGATGGGCTGGAGTCACTCTTACTATAACACCGAGACCTGGGAGACAATTCTGCAGTATGCACAGAATACATTCTATCACACCGCATGCGCTTCAGTGAAAGGGCTGCATTTTTAATATGTTAATGTGACAGTAATATAGTCTGCTCTGAATATATTTTCTATTTTTATCCTATTTAGAGAGAAGCTGGGTGATAGACTGCTTATTAAAACAGCCAGAGATGAGTTGAGTCCCAAGGTAAGATCACTGCATTTTAGGCCCACGGCACTGATTATCCAATGCAGCTGGATTAATGAGGGTATAGCTGCTGTATTAGAGCACCCCACTGTGGTCAGCCTGCAATTAGCAACATTTTTATTTTTTTTATTGTTTTAAGCACAAAAACTGGAGTTTGCACAGGTTTGTCAAAGGGATTTTATTTGCATCTCCACAGGTTTCAGCAGTCAGCGCAGTGGTAAACTGGGGTACCAGTCCGAAGGCTTTCGTCTTCCGCAACTATAACCATAAACCAGGATCCCTCTGTCGCTACGCAGGAGCCTCAGGCTGCCAGGTGTGGCAGGCGGTTCGGGCATCGTCTGCTGCCCCAGGATACTTCCAGGAGTTCACCTTACAAAGTGACATTCACCAGGTTGTGAACTAAAGCCATATGTGCTCAAAGTTTGAAATGGATGCTATTGCAGACACATTTTGGATTTTTATTTTGGTTGCTCAAAGCAGCCATATTTTCATGATAACGATGTATTCAATCACAATTTGAAAAGAGCCTGCCCTGGTATCACCTACATCTGCAGCTGTATGGAGAGTTACACTCCACTGTTGCTGCTTTGATTCACTGTAGCTGCTCTGAAAGAATCCAAATAATTTTCCTATACAGCCACCTATTATTAAATTTTACCAGAGTCGTTGTCCTCTGCATGTGGCCAAACTGTCCTTCATGGTGCACACAAAGCCTATTTTTGATTCAGCTGAAATACAATAAATCTCCCTCCTTCAGCAAAAAGTTCGAGTACACAATCCTCCCACTTTTCTAGTCGCCTGGAGCCAGCAAATTACACCTGAGTGTGCATGCAGCAAGTGCGTTGGAGGAGAGTGCAACTTGAAAACAACTGCAAAAACACCCCTGTGCACTGTCTTGCTTACTGGAAATATTTGGTATTTATAGCGGATCGGTCTGTCCAACCTCACAAAAATTAATGAAGGATCAACTGAGCAAAAACTTGTAAATAGTGCCAAATAAGCTTTGCTCAAGGGTCTTTGTATAGCAAGGTCTTGGTTGTTTAAAATGCCCTGAGATGATGTGGTGTGATTTATCTCCATATAAATTAAATTGAATTCAACTGAATGAAATGAACATACATTTGCAGCAGGAAGTGAGACAGAGTGCAGGAGTTTTTTCCTTGCTGTACCATCCCTAAGTCAAATCAATGGGGAGATTTTGATACTATAGTTACTAATAAAGCTGTGGAGTTATATTATCTTTGTGCAAGATGAATGAAGGAGGATAAAAGGGCTTTTTGTTTTATCTCTCACACATGGCCTGTGTGTGGGTTGGCATCAGTCCAAATGCTTATCCTGTCTCGTGTCTCTCTGTAGGATGGAGGAATTCTCCTGAACAATCCCTGTGCCTTGGCCGTCCATGAGAGCCGTTTGCTGTGGCCCAACCAGCACTTCCAATGTGTGCTGTCGCTTGGCACCGGTCGTTATGACAACGTTAAAAGGGGACCTGCTACCTCCACGAGTCTGAGGGCCAAAATCAGCAATCTGATCTGCAGTGCCACCGACACTGAAGGGGTCCACACCCTGTTGGATGACCTGCTGGCCCCGGACGTCTACTTCCGCTTCAACCCCATGCTGAGTGCTCAGGTGTCCCTGGATGAGAACCGGCCGGGAGCCCTGGACCTGCTGCAGAGAGACACCCAGAACTACCTGGAGAGAAATCGGAACAAGCTTGCCAGGCTCTGTTTGGTGCTCGGGGCCGAGCGCTCATCTGTCAGCAGAACTAAGGACTGGATGAGCGAGAGGGCCTGGGAGATGAAACAGAGATTGATGTGAGAAGGTGAGGGGAGGCATGTTGACATAGGGATGATTATCCTGCGAACAGACGCACATTTATATAGATGGTGGAAAAAAGAAAAACAGAAACACCTTTAAGTGCATTAACACTGATGCAAAACAAAAAATCTGTGATATCTGTTGTTAGAATTTCAAAAACTTTTCCCCTTTTCACAATACATGGTTTTACAGTGTTTGTATACATATATGAGTCTGATTATACACCGATCAGCCCAAAGATTGCCTCATTCGTGCCACCATGGACTCCACTGACAGACCTCTGAAAATGTCCTGAGACATTAGCTGCAGATCCTATAAGTCCCAGAAGTTACAAGGTGGGACCTCCTTGGATTCAACTTGTTTTCCAACACACAAATGCTTGAAATCCAGGGAATGAGGAGGACAAGTCAAGATCTTGAACTAATTGTCCATTTCTCAACAATTACTGCTCCACCAGTAAGCTGTGATGAGCTATGTGTTTGACACCAGTATTAATGTTTTCAGAATTTTGTTTAGTAGCTCCTCTATAGGATCGAACCACGAACATCAGTGACCCTTGGGACACCCATGACCCTGTCACCGACTCACTACTTGTCCTTCTTGGAGCCAGTCTTGGTAGGTTCTAACCACTACATGCTGGCAACACCCCATAATACCTGTTGCTTTTGAGATGCTTTGACCCAGTCATCAAGCCATCACAATCTTGTCAGAGTCCCTCAGATCCTTTAACTTTCACAGTTTTCCTGCTTCCAACACTTCAGGAACTGTTCATTTGCTGCTGAATATACCCGACCTGTTGACAGGTGACGTTGTAACAAGATAATTATTCCCTTCATGTGTTAATGGTTTTAACGCCATGGTTGACTGGTGGAAACTGAAGAGAAGAGATACAACACCATCGTTCTAATGACTTATATGGGTTGAGGCATTGTGAGGCCATTTTTACAGGAACATAGCATCACCACACACGTCAAAGGTCTTGTGTTGTATTATAAGATGTTTATGTGATTTTTCTCTACTTCCTCTTAGCTTTGGTTTTGGCTTGTTGACATACAACAAACACTTATTTATGAAATAAGCACTCAGATGCACTTTATCAATAAAGCTTTGATTGATATTTTAATATACATATATATATATATGGTCGTTACTTTATTTAGAACTGTGCTTGTCAGGAGCATAAACTGTAATATAAGCTATACATGTTGCCCTTATGTGACATTACATTTGGTGTTCAGGGGTATTTGTTTTCAATAAATTAATATCCATGAAGACTCTTCCTTGTCTTTTTTAAACACTTTTTTTTGTCTTACAGAAACATTAACAGCTGAACAATAAATGTCAATCTCAACTTTTCATCAACTGAATAAATAAATAATAAATAATGAATGAGTTTATCATTGAAGTACAAGTCATCTGGTCACTTGAATGTGATGGGTTAAATCTCCCCCATGTGTCTGGAAGCTGTGCCCTCCCCGTCCACAATAGACTGACTTTGTTGTAGACAGAAACGCTTTGTGTGATGGAGCGTGTATTCGTGCCAGCCAGAGTGAAGATACAAGGTCAGAGACACCCCCCCACCCCACCACCCCACCCACCCAGCACACTGAAAATCAGAAACAGCACACATGAAGAAATACAAAATATTATTTGCCTTCTTAAAAAACTTTGGATGATTTTTTGCTGGACAGTACCTGGATGACACCTAAACCAGATCTACCAGTTGGTGCATGACATGGCAGTTGTAGTTTAACTTTACTCTCCCGTCACAGTGGAGATGACGTTATATTTATGTGTGGATTTCACAATGGATTTATTATAACAGGCTCTCGGGCCCTGTTTGCCAGGCCTGTGACCCAGGCTAGGAGCAGCCGTCCTGCTGGGCCACATGAGCCTCTGTTAGCTCATTCTGTCACCTGCTCTAGGATGATAGAGTAAAAAAAAAAAGAAACACTAAAACCAGATGCTGCTGCAAAGCTAAGGCTCAGTGTCGAGATGCTGCTGTGCAACAACCGTGACAGAAGATGAGACGAAGGTAGGAGCCTGCTTTCAGCATAACGAGTGGAAAAAGGGACCAAGAAGCAGAACAAAACACCTAAAGGTAAGACCCCTAACATTCACTAGATGAAACTCTTTTTTTTTGTTGCAATGTTTGGATAGTCGCTTTTGGATATTAAGTGCACATTATTAGAGCACATGAAGACACTTCAGAGTGTGTGCTGCCACGTGAAGGAGAGCTTTACTCCTTGCGGCTGTCGTTCAAGACAGACGTCAATGGAAGTCAAGGTTTTAATGATGTCATGGTCTGAGTTGAGAAGTAGGGGGAGTGAACGCAATATTGTGCAGCTCTCGACGTGAATGAACATCACTTTCTGTGACGTGGCAATGAAGCTACAGTGAGAAATCAGAAGCATTTTTAACTTTATGTGAACTGTGACGAAACTGTCCATGGATCTGTGCATATTTAGCCAAACTAGCAGCACAGCTGTGTGAATGGAAGTGTGGCTCTGCTCAACACTTTTGCTCACACTGAAATAGCTCAACACATATTGAATGGATTGCTGTAAAATTTGGAACAGATAGCCATTTTGCCCACAAAATGATGTTCCTATAATTTTTTCTCTGGTGCCATCAACCGGTCAATTTTTTACATTTATCTTGAGAAATACTTCTACAGCTACATGATAGATCGGTGCACATGTTTGTACAGATATTCGTAGCTGATGGCAGATCCCTGTGACTTTTCTTTCAAAAATTGGCGTTTGTGATTTAGAGCAAAATATCTTCAAAAATATGGAATGTATTGCTCGAAAATATGATACTCATCCTCCACATGGTGACTTGTAATTACTTTGGTGATCTTCAGTTAGCTTTCCTCTAGTATCATCATCACTTTGGTCTATGACCTTTTTTCCTAAATAATAGCGTTTCTATCAGTGTGCTCTGTGCAAAATGATTGCATGCCAAAAGGTGAAACTGCAATGGTTGGCATGGCAACATGAGACCTGCTAATTAAAACACACTGTGAGCTGACATTAGCATTTAGCATTCAGATTCTCTCATGAATGGATGCACAAAATATTAGGACAATTTGAAGGTGGGTGAAAAATCAGGGGCAGCGTAAAGCATCTTAGTGAAGCGTTGGGCCTTCACATGCAGCGTCAGTGCATCTTGGCAGTGATTGTATAAGCCTACTGGAGGGATAGAACCCCATTCATCCATAAGAAATTCCCTCATTTGGTGTGTTGATGATTGAAATGGACAGCGCTGTCTCACATGTCAGTCAACAATCTCCCAAAGGTGTTCGCTTGGGTCAAAATCAGGTGTCTGCAAAGGTCATAGTATTGAGTCACGTCACTTTTTATATTAATCAAACCATTCAGTGACCTCTCGTGCCCTGTGGATGTCAATTTCTTACCACAGTTGACTCTTACCCAAACCAGAAAGTCAGTGTTCAGTTTTGTGAGACGATATTGTTTAAATTGTACAGTGGCGATGATGTCATTTAGCGCGGCGTCCTGCTCGACAGGAGTTTCTCTCCATCCTCTTCTTGTGCTTTCCCCGATGTAGTGACGTCAAAGTGCAAACGATAGGTGCTCCGAGTCTGAACAGGCAGCCTGTGTGGTTGAACACTCCCTCTCACATGCCATCTGCTCTTACCCAAGCTCTGGGCGCTCGTGCCAAAGGAGACCCACGAGCATAGAGGCCTTTTTGTCGTCACTGAGCTGGCTTTATCCGCCTCTGTGCCTCTTCACTGTGCAATCTGGTGCATGGCACTGATCGCTGCTCACTTCCAGGCCTGCATCAGTCCAATGTATGGGGAGAAAAGCCCATTCCGAGAGCCAAGAAGCTCAGCATACATACCCCTCCTGCTTTTGTGTTCTATGTGAAGCAAGTCAAGTTGCATTTCAGATGTTAATATGTAGAAAGGGATCAGGGCAAGAGGACAAAAAAAACACGAGCTACAAATTGCAACAGGTTACATCACAAGTGCACAGGTTCTCCCTCAAATATGAATGATGCATGTACACTTTCTGATTCTTTTGACTTGTAAGCACAGGTCTGGTTACATCTGTAGGTTGCAGATCCACCTCATTGTACCCCCACCTCCCAACCAAGCTATTGTTTAATCCGGTCAGTGCTGGTCTGTATATGCAGCCCTGTGTGAATGCCTGAAAGCCTACACAGGTCAGGACTCTGTTGACAGCCGTGAGATGGCTTTTGTTTCACACAAATGCAGCTTCTCCTGCATCTTTGGCACTTTTTCCAGGAAAGAAAATTACTTCTTTCCCCCTGTAGGATTTTCTCAGATGAATGGTATCAACCTTTTGCTCCTTTCCTTTGCATGTGAATGGTAGTGTGCAGAAAAATCTGTTTCACAATGAGAGGATAAGTATTTTGGAAAAAAAACTAGGGGGGATTGAAAAACACAGGGCTGCATGGATGTGTTTCTTGTCTTTAGATGTGGGATATTCTAGAGCATTACTTCTGGCTATGTGAGACTAGAAGTTGGATATTTCCAGCCTTTGTCAGAAAGTCATGTGACTTGAGATTTGCAAAACATGTAAAATTCATATGGCAGAAACAAACATTGCTTTCATTCTCTGCTGCCCAGTTCCCTGCAGTCAACAATAAAACCCACATTTTGATGTCATCAAGAACCAGCATGAATGCAAACTGTCTTATCTGGGTTGTTTTGTGCTTTCATTTTGCCTAACCTTGTGCACAAAACGGATTTTTTTCTCACACTCAACCAGCTCAAAACAAACATTATTCCGCTATAATAAAGAAAAATCAGGCTCCAGGAAAATATGTCCTCACGTATAAAATCCTCACCAAACAGCTGGAGTAGTAAATTCATTTATTTCATTTCTCGGAACTCCAGTTTATTTATTGTGAAAACTTTTGCAGTTTGATGAGGACAAACTGTTCAGACTTATGCAAGTCTGGCCTGAACAGTGAAGTGGGTGAAGTGTAGGTGTTGTATGGGGCTCATTCATTATTCATGAGCTGGGTGGGCAGAGTGTAAGTGGCAGTGACACACAGAAACTCAATTACTGATGTGTATCAACTCCTCAAGGGTTCTTGACCTGATATTTGAGGGACTGAGGCATTAATTGCTATACTGCACAAACAAGAATAATTTCCTGGAGAAAAGTCAGTGGATTACTGATGCGTCGGGGAAGCCACAGAGATGGGGAGGAGAGAGCCCTGATTTGACTTTACATGAGAGCGGTAGGTCCTCATAACTTTTTGTTTTCATCACACTAACGCGATGCGCGGTTCAATGAATATTTAGAGCAAAATATTTCAAAGAGAAGCATCTAGAGAGACACTCTTTGTTAAGGCTGACAGATAAATTGTATCAGATCGTGCAGATATGCCTTACCACTATTTACTCCTGTCAGACTCTCGGGGGCTTCATTTTCATGTCAGTCTGAGACAGTTTAATAGCTTTAATAGCCTGTTCTTGTCTTGTTTTTGCTGTGTGGAAATTATAAAAAATGTTGCGCTAGAGAATCTGATACATCAGTGAGATCCTAATAAGTTACAGTACTTTAGTGAAAATACTTCATGGGGTACATGTACTTCCATTTTATTTTGCTATACTTCCAAAGATTGCATTTCAGTGAGCCACAGTTACTGTTCAGATTAGGTTTTCTTTTCATTAAAACATAAATTGGTGAAGTTTACAAAGTCAATACATTGTTCTCTGTTAGATCATTCATTCCCAACCTTTTTCTTTTTTTGCCTCATTACTGCTTCATGATTGGAGCCACTTGTTAAATGTCTCCATGAGTTTACAGCAGGTTCTTTATATATATATATATATATAGGTTATTTCCCTGCTAAACGTCTCAGATAGCTACTTTAACATTGGGATAACACTGTAATACATGAAATTAACTAGTATTTGACAAAAAAGGAACAAAATGTATACATTTTTGTAGCATATATTTCTTTTATTTAAGATCCCATAACCCCTCAATTACCTTGAGATAAGTATAATAAACTATCAACTCAGCCACAACAGCAAAATAAAATACAGCCAACATCATTGCTTCAGTAATATTAGCATTAAAAATAAATACTCACAAGGTTATTTTCCTACGGAATAAGTATTTTTACTTAGATACTAAACTGAAAATACATTTGCTTAAGTAAAATTTTGAATTAAAGACCTTTAATCGTAATTAAGTGGGGGGAGGGTTTATATCGTAGTATGAGTGCACTTACTCAAATGAAGAAGTGCCACGACGGTGCAATGTTCATTGATGGCAAAGTGGATGATTGTGCGATGTGTTCTTGATGAACGGCTTCTGACTCGTATGAATGTTTTGTAGATGTCTTCTGCTTTTCTTCATTCAGTTAACAAGCAGGGGACTTGGTGATCAACATTATTACTGGACTAAATGAACTGTAAAGATGGGGACACTTGTCGAAGCGGCGCTGCTGCTACTTTTATGGCAGAGTGTTTGGACTTTGGACATTCCTCTGGAGGGTGAGTCTATAAAGATGTGTCATTCTGCTGCTTGTAGATGTATTTCTACCTTATCGCATAAGTTTGGATTTTGTTCCCCTGCCTGCAGTCAGACAACCCCCCACCATCATAAAGCAGTCAATGAAGGAGCATATTGTTGACCCCAAAGACACCATGGTCATAGAGTGTGAAGCCAAAGGAAACCCTCATCCTATGTAAGACCTGCAGCAGCACACACAACAGATTTGTCACTGTCCGTGTAGCACTTCACTGATTTTTCTGTCTTTTTTTTTGCTCAATCCTGAAGTTTCTCATGGAGGCGTAATGGCAAGTATTTCAATGTGGCACGTGACTCCCAGGCATCAATGCGCCGGCGCTCAGGGACTCTGGACATCTATGCCCGCAATAATCCAGAACAGTACGAGGCCGAGTATCAGTGCATTGCCTCCAATGAGTATGGATCTGCGTACTCCAACAAGATCAGACTACAGCTATACAGTGAGTTCAGGGTCGGGACTGTAGAAGAATTAACTGTTTGTTTGTGTCCACCAGTGAAAGCAGATGTACAGTGACCTCACACTTTACATGACATGACATGAAACGTCCCAAACTGTGACATCCTTATTTTCAGCATTTGGAATCCCATTGAATAAAATAAAAATGACCAAAAAAATCCTTTGAAATGCCTTGCAAAGATCTGTAATTTATACATTTCACCACATGTGATTTACAATATTTATTGTTTCCCACAGTACTTTAATTTTCCTCTTTTTTACAATTTAGTTGCACCTTTTTTCTTTTCTTATAGTGAATATTATCTTAAATGCAAGAACAACCACACAGACGAATGTTATTGTTCAAAAATAACTAAAATCCCACAAAAAGACCCAAACCCACAATGTGTCTTTTGTTCATGCACTCAGCAACAAGCACCACCATTAATGTGTAAAATCCTGAGTCAACTTATATCACCTGGAAGCAAAGTTGACACTATTACGTTTTGACAGCAGTGATAGTGCAGGATAGTGCTTGTCTGAACATTTTAATGGGTCAGTAATTAAAAACCTAGTATCTGCTGGAGCCATTCAATCATTTTGATCTGCTGGAAACTCTGGGAATCCTGTCTGTGTCCTCACCAAATTCCCTAACTGTAGGAGTTATTTATATTTATGGAGATATTGAACCTTTAAACTGGCTTACGAATTCACAGGTCTGAAAACAAATTAAATACTTAAACTTAAGAAAGTCTTAACTTGCTTTTGGAGACTGCCTGAACTTTTGTTATTCTTAATTACGGCGCCCATGTTGGTCACAATGAAATAACAAATAAGATAAGACAAACTTTATTGATCCGTCACCGGGGAACACTGTCGAGGCCACAAAAGCTTTAGCTCACGGACTATACTTGTAAGCGAGATGAATTCACTGTTGTTTTTTGTCTTGATTAGATTTCTTCGCACCTAAACAAGTTATTAGCATGAGGCCCAGCATCACCCATTATCTGGCTGTTCAGATCTTTACCCAGCGCTGCCATTAAACAGCAAAAACTTGACTGTGCTGCTCTCTGTGCAGGAGCTCCTGTGTGGCCGAGGGAGATTCTGGAGCCTGTGGTGGTCAGTGCTGGTCTGCCTCTGGTCCTGTCCTGTGACCCCCCGCCTGGCCCACCCAAACCTGAAACCTACTGGATGTCCAGCTGTAAGTGTCTGATACACAGTTCTGGGTCACTGAAGGGTCAAACACAGAAAAGCATAAACAAAACAGCATAGATCAATTTGACCTCAGACATCTCCTCTAAACTTACTTCAGATGATGTTTTAACATAATGTTTCATTTCAGGCTCATATGCTCGACCTTTCAACTGGCCCATCCAGACAGCTTTCCCCACCATGGAGGCTGTGCGGCCGGACCGCAGGGTCTCCATGGGAGTCAATGGAGATCTGTATTTCTCTAACGTGCTGATCAATGACTCTGTCGCTGATTACTGCTGTAATGCCCGCTTCCCCTACAAGAACGTCATTCAACAGAAGATGCCAGTGGTTGTGAAGGTGCTTTCAAGTGAGTACGAGTGTCTTCAATGGACTACTAGAATCTTCTTTTTTTGCTATTACCTGACATTTTTCGCTTTACAGAAACATGTCTTGGTGTTGACATGTGTAACCGTCAAACTCAGTGAGACACTGACCTCAAGTACAAGCACAACAAATTGCAATAGGTTCAAAGGAAGCAAATAATTCAAGCTGGAGTGTCAGCTGAGACACAGCAGGCGTCTTTAAACTATAGCAGGTCAAGTGGAAACATTTCTATTCTTACTCTGAGGTGGCTGCGAAACACCAGCGAGAGGAACAAAACAAGAGCTACGACCATGTGACGAGCTGACATTCAGTTCTTCCGAATCTGTTCATAGAAACAGATTGACTTGAATGTAGACTTGGATATATGCACAGGCATAAGCTTGACTTATATTACAACCCAGATACAGAGAATATATTGTCATATATATATATAT